TTATTGAAATCATCAGTCAAATTCTGTGGAGGGGTATAAGCAAATTGTAGAGGTTTTATGTGCACTGATCGTCCGATTAATGACTGGAGAATATGTAATAATAATAATAATAATAATAATAATTATGATGGTGATTTTTGTGAATTGGAAATGGTCCGAGCTACGGAGGGGAAACGTTAAAAGAGAAAGAGAGTCGATCTAAATAATGCGCATAAAGAGAATGTTGAATGTGTGAGAATAAAATGACTGAATTTGATAATATGCGAAAGTGACAACAGCCAATAAACTGTCCAAAAATTGGTATAAATTAACAGACAATTAATACCAGTCAACGACAGAGGACGAGGTTTTCAGCAAATTTCTGAAACTGTCCTCAAGAATAACACGGAAAAATAATTAAAATTCACTCTGGTCACATTCAAATTTCATATAAGATTTTACTATAGAATAAAACATTCCAGACAAGTAAATAAGATGTTGCAGTCGATCACATCATCGATAGAGCAGAATGTGGTAAGACATTTTAGTATCTTGACCTTGGCAGTTGTATAGGGAATTTGGAGAAACAAATATTTACGCTATTCATATGGAACACAAAGTACAATGCAGATCGGCTTAAGGTGTGAGAAATCAAAAAAATATTAGTAATATTTTTTCTTGTTTTCCTATTTTGATGTTTGACAAAATCCTTTATTTAGGTTTCTATTATTATTAGTCAAATATGATTTAATGCCACAGTTTTGAAATTTATGAAACCAGATCTTTATATTTTGAATGTTTGTCAAATTCAATTACGGGTATATTCTTATCAGAAGGGAAGGACCTGTATATCACAGAAAAACGATATTTTTGATCTTAATGTTTTTAAGAGCTTCGCACAAATCAGCGCAAGAAAATAAATAAATACGTCAGGATTTACTGAGTGAGATAGAATATGGGAAAAAGAAAGATTATTAAGTCGATACAACAAGAAAAGAACAGTAATTAAAGATACAGCAGATAATTGCGTTTATCTTTTTGAAAATCTAAGTTGACTAGAATTTAAGAAGCCAGAAGTGAGTTCCACAAATGAGAAGGGCGAGATAAGAGTTAGCATAGAAATTACGGTTTCATCTGTCCATTTCTATATTAAAATGAGACCCAATATTGCCTTAATATTGTAATGCGCTTAAATTAATAAAGTCTAGGCACAATAGATCATCAGAACATTTACCATGAACATATTTATAGAAAAGGCACAGAGAAACTACGTCACGGCGGTGGAAATTAACTAGAGCATTGATGCCAGGTCAGGACTAAAAATATTGCAGATTCTATTTTGGGTTTTATCTAGTATTTCGAAATACATTACTTTTTACTCTATTTGGTATTTTCTTTTCTATAGTGTGTTCAGTAATTATGGAGATGACTTTGAGAACTGTGAATTTTTATTTTCTAGCAATTATCTTGGTTTTTATATATGACATTTTTGCTTTATGATGAAAGTTTTATTGTCATATCAAAACAATTATTCCTTTACCTTATAACATCTATATTTAGGTATAGAGAAGAGCACTCAGATATTTTATGATCCAGAGTTGACTCAGAATTTATATAAAAATAGACATTTTAATTTGCACCGTTTATTCAAATAAATGTCACATATTGTTCGCGTGTTTTGGTCATGAACAACATGTAAGATGAATTCTCTTTTTTTGGCTTCAACTAAGATCTTCACAACCACTAATGGTTTGAAATATTCTAATTATTATTGTTGTTGGGTATGGAGAAATGCGTCATAATCTGATCTACGGCAGGACCAATTAGATACTATTCGTATGACATCATAAAGACTTCTTATGATTATTAAAAAATCAAATTCCTTTGTCTATTCTACCTGCAGTTTACAGAAAACGGCTCTGGATTCCTTTACACATATGTAGATGTTAGTATTCCTATGATGTACGAATATATTAATGAAGTAGTACATTTAATTTATCTCCTATTGCAAACTGCTTCATTAGTGCTTTTTCAAAATCACTTAAAAAAAAACTGACATCCCCTCCATGCTTAGTAATACTTGAGAGATTTCACTTTCGTTCTTCTGCCCTTTTAATTCAAATTCTGTGTCCTTCAGTCTTAATGAATGAATAGAAAAATAGAAATACACGCGCAATTAGGAATATGGCCGTTGCATGGAAAATCTCTAAAACCACTGAAGGCAAGTAGGAATTTAAGGATAGCAGAGACAAAACAAAGGGAAAGAAATGGAGAAAAAAAATCACTTCCTAATAAGGTTTGGAAAGTATTGGTGAATATGCGGGGAAAAATGCCAGTTAAAAATAAAGCAATAAGCAGAGTGAATGGGAAAAGAACAAATTAACGATAATAAAATTACTGCAGGAAAGAAGTAAAAGAAAGTAAACATGGTTAGTAGAATTAAAAAAAATGGAATAAAAGGGAAGCTAAAATTTCGGAGTAAATGAAGTAGTAGTGAATAGATACATAAACATATAGTATTTGAAAGACTGTGGTAAATAATAGATAGATAGATAGATAGATAGATAGATAGATAGATAGATAGAAGGACATAGAGAGTCAGACAGATAGATATGCAAATAGATAGATAGGAATACAGACACATAGATGTGAAGATAGGTACAGAGATACGTGAATAGATAGATACATATGATGATAGATTGATAGATATGAAGACGGGTAGACAGAGAGTTATGGTGAAACAGACAGATATGAAAAGACGGATATTAAGATATAAATATATAGCTATGATGATATAGATAGTTAAATATGAAAACATAAATAGATAGATAGAAAGATAGAAATAGACAAATAATAAAACGATACGGATAAGAACAGTAATTTAGACTAATAGATTGTTGATGTTAAATGTCAGATGTAAACAAGAATTAAAGAATGAGAGAAAGGAATAAAACAATAAAAATATGAAGTCAACCTGAAAAAAAAAAGCAATCGGAACTAAATAACTAAGCTATTAAACACTTACACAAATAACAATGAACTGGCTATGGAATTATTGAAGGAATGCAGGTTTTAGAAAGATATATAAATATATAATATGAGAAGAGTGAAAGAATTAAAAATATGCATGGATTTTAGAAAATAAACGCGGCACGATGTTAAAATGGAGAATGCTAAATAAAAATGGAGACATTTAAGGATGGATAGAATAAAGGCAATTGATATAAGCAAAGAAATGTTAGGAAAAACAGTCTCAGAAAATAGAAGATTGCAAGGAAATAAAGCAAAATAATAAAACGTACAATATAAAAAAAGAAAAAAAATAGTAAGATAGGGAAAAAGAAGGAATATATGGAAATGAAAAAGAACGATAAAAAAAACAAAAGAAAAAAACTAGAAAGTAAAGAATGGATTCATGAAAATAGAAAGAAAAAAAACAAATAAACAAAAGAAAATAATTGAAAAAAGAAACAAGGAAATAAATTACGAATGTGTGGAGAGAGAAGGAAAGACAAAGTGAAAAAAAAAAGAATGAAAGCATACATAGAATGAGAATGAAAAGGTAAATGAAAGAATGAAAGAAAGGATAAATTGAAGAATGAAAAATACCGTTTTCAGAATAAAAGAAAACGTCAGTAGAAGAATGAAAGAAAGACGACGTTTAATGAATGAGAGTAACAAGACATTTGAAGAATGAAATAAGGCATTTGAAAAAAAAAACAACATGATACAGAAAACAGATAATGTAAATAATTCAAAGAATTTAAATAATAACAATATTCATGCCAAAAAAGAAAGAAAATATATGGAAAAAAGAAAGAATACATTTAAATAAAATGAATGAATGAGAAAACGGAAGAAATTAAAGAAAGAAAGAAAAACAATACATGAAGCGAATGAAAATATATAATACACGGAAATGGAAAGAGGATGAAAGAAAGAATGCATAGAAACAGAAAAGAAAGAAACATGAAGAAGTAAATGGACTCGAATGATAAAAAGTAGTACAAAGAATAAGAGAAAAGATAAAAACGTGGAAAAATAGGAAAGAATAAAATAATATATGGACAACGAAAAGAAAGAAAGATAACAAATACAAGCAAAAAGAATAAACGCAAATGAATTGAAGGAAGAAATGAAGGTGGGTACAGAAAAAAAAAGGAAATAAATTAATGCAAATTAAAAAGGAATATAATACATGAAAATGAAAAGAATGAGTAAAGGAATGCATGAAAACAAGAAGACAGAAACTAAATGAAAAAAAGCGAGAAAGAGAAAAGTAATGGAAACCGAAAGAAAGAGAGAATGCATGGACTCCACCCCCACCCAAGAAAAAAGAAAAAAAAGGAGAGAATACATGAAAAGAAAGAAATAAAGACATAGAGAATACATGGACACCAAAAGAAAGAAAGAGAATACATGAATACTAAAAAGAACAAAAGATAGAATACATAGTAATAAATAGGAAAGAAAGGTAGAATACAAAGAAAAGATACGAAACGAAAGAGAACATACATAGAAACAAAAAGAAAGAGAGGATACATGACAACAAAAAGAGAGAGACAATACATGGCACCAAAAAGAAAGAAAGAGAGAATATACAGAAGAGAGAAAGAAGAAGAAGAAGAAAAAAAGGAAAAGGGGATATATGTCAATAAAAAGAAAGAGGGAATACATAGAAACAAAAAAGAAAGAGAATACATGGGAACGAAAGGAAAGAGTATATGGAAGCAAAAAGAAAGAAAAATACATGTAAACAAAAGAAAGAAAAAGAGGATATACAGAAGCCAAAAGAAAGAAAGTGAGAATAGATAGAAACTAAAAAGAAAATGAAATACATGGCACAAAAAGTAAGAGTGATAGAATAGATAGAAAAAGAAATAAATACAAATAAAATACAGATAAACAGAAAGAAAGAATGAGAGAATACATGGGAACAAAAGGGAAGAAAGAATGAATAGAAACAAAATTATAGGAAAACGAATCCATAGAAAAAGAAGAGGAAAAAATAAAAAATACATGGGATTAGAAATACTGTAAGAAAGATAAGACGCGTGAAAAGAAAGAAAGAAAGAAAGAAAAAAAAAAAAGAAAGCACACAGATGGAGAAATATAACGCGTGATAAAAATAGCTAAAATTGGTTGAATATGAAAGTGAAATAAAAATAACATGAGAAGAAATAAAAATGAACGAATGTTTAAAAACAATGGTTGGAAAACTGTGCTCGATAAATGGAAGCCAAAGAAGTCGTATCGGGTTTCTCACGTTGCTTCATCGGAAACAAAGCCAGCCCACTCCAAATTTTCACTCCCTCACTTTTATTCTACTGCGGTTGGCCGCTTTCATTGTACGAACGAATGTAACATATTGCAGCTGAAAAGGGGAAAGACTGTTCATCTATTCAGTGGTGCCATAGCGTTATATCTCCTCTTCAATTAACGAACAATTTAAGACGAGATGTCCATCACCGCTGGCCAGCACTGATTTACAGTGACACAATGCCTGTCACGTCGTCGTTCTTAATGGCCTCGGAATTTTTCGTTATTCATAATTTTTTATTCTTTTAGGGTAGAACATGCAGAATAATGTCCAGTAGACAAAAAGCCAGTATGTCGATTAGTAAGCATGGCTGGGAACAAAAACAGAATTAGACATGTAACCAATAAAATAAGACAACAAACCGACAGTTCATTCATTCATTTATATATCGATATATATTGGGAGTACTTACAAGTAACCTAGTGGGCTGAAAATACATGAATGCAGAGTGGTGTAGTGAAGAGCGCCATGAATAAGAAATCAGAGAGCCTAGTTCGAATTCCAATTCGTTGCGTTAATTTACCCAAAAATAATCTTACGAAGGGTAGGAATCCATCTAATCTCCACATAAGTATGGATTAAATAACTGTGTTTTTAGCCTTAGTTGCTACCTCGTCCAGGAGAAGGAGAAGGACAACTATAAATATCAAAGCTGGTCAAGTCGTCTCTAAATAATATATACTGGTAGTTTGATTGATCGGTTCTAAAAACTGAGCAACTAGGTACTTATACGCCAAAAACGACTGGAGAAGCATTTATTGTATATATGTTATAAAATTTTATAGTGGTCACACTAATGGAGCAAATCATGAAATTTGATATCATTGTAAGAAGAACAGTAAGTAAATTGTTAGCATATATTTGAGGATGAGAATGGCTTAGAGAATTAGAGATTCAAAAGTAAAATGCATCAATGCGAGTAGCATGCATGCAATTATCGTATGTACTTAATATTATATATATATATATATATATATATATATATATATATATATATATATAGGTGTGCATAAATTTCTTGTGCACTTTAAAGATTCATAAATTGAATGTGCACACAGCCTTTTATGGACAGACTATATATATATATATATATATATATATATATATATATATATATATTCTCATAGAGGTATCTATAGAAGAGACGAAATAATATATATATATATATATATATATATATATATATATATATATATATAGAGGGACATTTTTCATATTTTTGTGTGTGTGCGTTTAAGTATGTGAATTTATATGTAAAAGCCGAAATAAAAAAAATCTTTGTTCTCTAATATTTAACTCGTTTTTCATTATAGGAAATAATCTTTGCGAGGGTTCAGTCCTCAATGACAGTCACGTGTTTTTAACGATTCTCCTCTGCTTAAAATCAATTAGGCAACTCAGCAACAAGTCATACTTATAAATTAATCTTTGGTATAGTTCCATATATTTTCTGTTTCAACATCCTAGTGTTCCTGTGCCACGCGAGTAAAAAGCTTTATCCATCCATAAACTCATTTCGCATTAATCGTATATTTTTAATTATCTAATCCTTATAATTCTATTTCTGGGTAACCGATGTTATACTCATATGCACAAATATGTATTTTTGTGTCTGTTTATTTCTAACAGGAAAGTAAAACTCATAATATTGTATTCAGGTAACCGACATCATAATGTGCAAGAGAACATTTAAAGTTGTTATACTCTTACATATGTAGAAATACCAGCATCTACATAGATATGTTGAACAAAACAATTAAGCAGAACTTACAGATTATCACCAGATTCATGGCAATGCTTTCCCTCAAAATATACTTAAAATTACTGCCATGGACATCTAGAATCTATGCGATTATGGCTACCAACGGATTCATTATATTGTGTGTGAATTGTCATGATTTTTGTCTTCTATTCTTTTATGATTTCAGAGTTGTTGTATTAGTCCATCTTCTACGAAAGCCTGTAGATTTCAGTTTACAAGGCTATTTAACCAATAACAGGGGTTTATATATATATATATATATATATATATATATATATATATATATATATATATATATATTTTTAAACTGTTTCTAAATCTGTTTCTTTCCATGTGATGAACTGACTTTAAAATAATTGCAACTATGTAATTACATGTCGTGTGCTAATGAAATAGGATTCATATCACAAACACAAATGATCTTATTCCATCCTTTCAAATGAAGTAGGTTTGTGTGCCTTTGTCATGCTGGACTATAATTTCAAAAGAAATACTGAGCAACATAGACATACCAATGAAATGAAACAATAGCAACAATAATCAAATTAACATTTCTGTAGCCATAGATATATATTTGAACATACACTTCATTGAGTCGCAAAAAAGAACATGCATACATGCCTCTCGACATATTCCAAAACATTTTGCTGCCTGACTCAAACAGTGTTACGAAATAGTCATTTTGAAGATAGAATTGAGTTGTGTTAATAGATCACTACTATTTCAGTTTAGGGAGCAACTCGGCGTGGTGTAATATCTAACAAGCCTATCTCGCCAGTAGAGTTACCACTGAGTAATAAGTTCGATCTTCACAGGATGCTGTCTACTTACGGCCTTGTGCAACATCTAAGCTGTGCTTAGAAAATCACCATAACTATTTTCGTTTTATGCAAGAATGATTGTTTTGTTTTTACATCAGCCTTTTCGGGTTTATTTAATTTCGAAATATTTTTGTGAAGATGATTGTAAGAATTTATATTTTTCCCGTCTGGATATAGCATTAACAATTATTTGGAGGTAAAAAAATTTCCAGATACAAATCCTAACATGTAATCTATAGCCAGGAGGAAAAAGAATGTATTCATATCTTGCCCAAGGGTATTTTTGCGTTAAGTGAATACAGAACTCGACAGAAATTCGAACTCGGCTCTCTAATTTCTTATCCCAGACCTTTACTCATTACACCACCCATATATCCTTATATGCAAGATCATTTGTTTATAAAATGTAAGCCTTAGGAGCTACACCTAAGTTATTTGCCCAAGATACATAGACGGAAAACCTTGCCTCACATTTCGGGTTGCCATAATTTGAAATTATCAAACCCTTTAGGGTGTGCAGAAGGAAATTTAAACCATGTTGTGTATGTCTAGACATTGTTCAATCCGTCCTTCTGCACTTCCAGTTGACGTACTGCGATTTGATATTACAATTGGGAAAATCCCGCCCATATTATCACCATCCTAAGCAACATTCTTTCCAAGATCTTCGACAACTTCCCTTGATAGCACAATTGGTTGATCTGTCTATTTCAAGACGAATGAGGTTTGGTTCGGTTTGTTTCACGGCATATCAACCTCAATGGGTTATTTAATGCAGATAACATTTTTGATGGTAGCAATATATATATATTTTTTTAAATGTATTGCTGGTAATGGTTTTTCTTCCTTCAAAATCTATTTCTCGTAATATTTTTCTTCAAAAAGCTATTGCAGTTAATTTTTTTTTTTAATTTGTAAAAATCTATTGCAGGTAATATTTTTCCAAAAATGTATAGCTGACAATATTTTTCCAAAATATTTTGTTTGTAATAATTTTCATTTAAAAAATGTATTGCTGGTAATAATTTTTCCTTCACAAAAGCATTGCTAGTAATAATTTTTTCTACAAAAATGTATTGCTGGTAATAAATTTTCCTTCAAAACTATATTGCTGATAATAACTATTTCTTCAAACTACATTGCTGGTAATAACTTTTACTTCAAAAATGTATTGCTGATGAATTTCTTTTTCCTTCATAAATGTATTGCTGGTAATCTTTTTCTTGAAAAGATATTTCTGGTAATAATTTTCCTTAAAATAATGTACTGCTGCTATTAATGCCTATTTTTACAGGGTTTTGACTCCTGTTTGGTTGGGAGTCAACATTTTGCCGATATCTAGGACCCTAACAGGTGCTACAACTCCATGACGAATGAGGAGCATCATAGGACGATGCCTATTTTCTTACATTGACCCATCAAGAACCCTTGCAGCAACAACTGAAGGAGGCATACAAAAATAGCAAGATGTTATCACTTTATGTACAAGTGAATACAGATCAGCACACTTACAAATATGTGTCTCCTAGAAGCAGATATGACGACATTCTTATTAACTCTAGGATAGTCCAAAACTTAGATGATAATCGCTCTCCAGAACATATTTCCTTTAATATCTGAGAAATGCGATGAATTCTTGGAAAATGAAGTGCTTTCTCTTTGCCATGACCATGTTTTTGGTTTCAGTTTTTATTCTTCGAATCAAGGCGAGAGAATCATCCTATTTAACTATTGGCTGGAGTTGGAAGAGACGAAATGTCTTCATGTCATTCTCAAGACCATTACAGCGTAAGTGATCAGATTATATCGAACTTTCCTCGCCAATAATAACACATCTGAGTTAACAATCCATCTGATTACGGTCTTCACACTAGAATATTTTGTGAATTAATATGGGATTTCTTGGAGCCTTTGGTATACCCATTATTTTGGAGCCGATTCATGTATTGATCTGTATATTTTGGCGTCTATTGTAATAAAGTTATATTCCTTATACGTTTTATTCATTTGTTTTGCAATTTTACATTCCGTCATTGTCCGCTTACGCCCAAAATAAAATTTAAAAAATAATGGCTGCTTAAAACTATTAATTCACCTCCTATTAAAAAGAATATTTAT